TAATTTCATATTTTGCTCTCTTGTTACACAAAACCTAGGAGCCCTCTGAGCAACTGTGTACATTGCGTTCTGTGCGTGGTTTAAAAGTATATTAAAATATTAATCTTCTTCCAAGGCCCAGTTTGCCAGGTTTCTGACTGGAACACAGTTTAATGGATGACTCATTGCAGATACATTGTATAATGCTATGATGTTCTGATAGCCAGTGATTTACAGCTACAATATTTAGCACTCTCTTGCTTTGGAAAAACCTTTTATTGCTTATTTGTGTAACATATGGATACTTGGAATTTAAGAGTATTTTCATAGAATAGTGTTRTAATAGTCAGAAAAAACACAAACAATTTTTTTTAAGGCAGAGCAGTAATCACACTTGAAGCTACTCCTTTAAAATGCTAAGTTTAGAATGTTTGAAACTATTGTTTTGCCTTCAAACTGTGTTTGGATAAATCAATCTGGCCTCCATGGCAAGCAGTAACTCTTCAAGGAGGATCCTTCACTGCCGAGTACTGGGGAGGTTTCCTAGAGGTGAAGAGGAACTAGAATAGAAAGGTCAAATATGTTTATTTCCCTTTAAACAAAGTACAGCTGTAGTGATGGCTCATATGGCTGGTTTGGTTTAAAATCGATAACCTCAGCAGGCCTGTTCTTAGCAATTGATTTGAAATGTCAGTCAGGGGCATTTCAATGGAGAGCAAGCACTGAGGAAGAGACATTTCATTATGCACACTGAGGGGCTTTCCCACTCTTGCTTTCCATAGGGCAGGCTCTSTGGAGCTGGCAAGCACTGGTGTGAAACTCAGAACTCCCAAGCAGCCAACCTGAGTTCCTTCACCTGGGAAGGCACTGCAGGAATGAGGACACACAGGAWTCTGTATGATTTTACTATGCCAAAACTGAATCATCCCTTCTACTCTGACTGAATTACTAGGACAACCTGCTGAAACAATTMGCAGGTTTATTTCATATTGAATGTTGTTATTATTGCTGAAGGTGCTGTTCTGGGGTTTAKGTAGTCCAAGAGTTTTGTCTTGATTTGCCCCAATGGGTAGTGATGGTAATAAATGGTGTCGTTTTCTGTCCATAAATTATTAACCAATAACAAGGAGAGCCTTAGCAGAGAAATGACAAGCAGGTGTGATGAGAGGTGGCAGGATTAGCTGAGAAGAGCCATGTGCCAATTACATTATTGTGCAATTGCAGGGTCCTGCATAGGCAGATGGACCTTTGGGACTCCTTTGGCAGGACTGGAACATTCAYAGTGTTTATAATATGCCAGTATATCCTGCAGAACATCACAGACACCATTTCTAGCTCTTTCTTGTAAAAGGAGAGTAAATTATTTTCCTTCTCCTCTGGGAAATGTTCCAAGAATCCTTTTGAAGTGCTTTTGTTGCACAGTGCAGCTGTGGTGTTTACGAGAGTTCCATAACCCTCTGCAAGGTCTGCAAGAGAGGAGAATATGACTGACTGTACTCCCATTGACCCCTTTGGCTCCTGAGCAGTTAGGCCACAATTTAAGGTCATCGCAGGTTGCTATTGTGAAGGAGGAGAATTAGCAATAATTGAGATTTTTCCCTTGGGTGCTGTCCTGCAGATCGGTAAAGAACCTTTCTCACTTTCTGTGTACGTCAATGCAATGCAAATACATGGTCAGAGGCAGCCTCTTTGCTTGTCTGTTGRGTTTCTTGCCAGGTTGCATTCTACCAAAAAAAGGCAGATTCTTGGACATCCTTGCAGAACCATGAAGGGAGGTACTTTCTTAGGTGGTTACTTGATTTTGAGGGCTGGTAAATTTTCCCTGATAATTTTTTCACACTTTCACTTACTGTGGCCATCAGCAGGTGCAGGGCAGTGCTGAATGTTTCCAGRCTCTCAAAAGGACGAGGATTTGTTTATTTCTTGGTTCAGGAGACAGCAACAGTTATGGGGATGCACTAGAAAGGACTATTGCCTGCTGTTTCCTCTCAGCCTGTGCTGCTCATGAATAAAAATCCACTAACTTCAGTCACCTGCACACTGGAAACTGAAAAATCATGGCTTTTAACTCACCTTCAGAGTGTGAAGATGCTGCAACAATCCTTTCCTGGATTTGACTGTGCTGCACATTGTACAAGACACAACAAGGACAGAYCCTCTGCCTCAAAGAACTTTCAACAAAACTTTTGTCTTCAGCAGAAGATAAACTCCCCCTACACATGTTTTTATCTCAAAGTTAGCAATCATAAAATCCTAGAATCGAAGAATGGTTTGGTTGGAAGGGACTTTAAAGATCATTTTTCTCCAACAGCTCTGCTGTGGGCAGTGATACCTTCTTTTAGACCTCAGATTACTCAGASCCCCATCCAACGTGGTCTTGACCAGTTCCAGGCAGTCTCCAGTCTCTCTGGGCAAYCTGTTCCAGTGCCTCACCACCCTCACTACCCTTGTAGGAAAAATAACGGTCTTTATTAATTATAGATATCAGTCTTTATAAATTACAGCAAAGATGTATAAATTATGGTAAAAAACCAATCTGTTACCAAGCATTGAACAGGTGGAAGATTTGCTTCTGYATCATCTTGCAGTTTTATTTTACTTGTTCCTGTAAGAATAAACACCGTATAAAACTTAATGGTTTTGCAATTTTCTCATTTAAGGCTAACAAACACAAAGGTGTTGGTTAAATTTGTCATGTTTTATTCATACCAATCCAATTCCTATCAGTAAAATGTTTATCTCTTTTACTTACTCTGACCTAAGAAAGACAGTTTCTGTATTGTAGGAAAATATTTCCATTGCATCACTTAGCCACAACTGAAACATGCTGCATTTATTAGCTCATCCAAAGAAAAGACTGATTACTGTCCCCCTTTGATTAATATGAATTTATTATTTCAATGTACAGTTGTGCTTAAATTCCCTATATTAACTTTTTCAGATAAATTCTCAACTTCATGTAATATGTATCAAAATACTAGTCACGCAAATCCTTTATTCTTTGTCAAGTGTTTTCTTACTCCCTTAACTTATTACATCAGAAATTATTAAGTTGCCCAAAAGTCCTGTGTTTTCTGCATGTCCATTGCTCTAAAGGATAAGTAAACCATTTTGCTTTTGAAGCCACAAGTCATTGTTCAGACAGAGGGTACACAAAAGAGAGAAATGTTGGGAAATTAAGCAAATGGAGCTTAGCTCTGCAGCTGTCAGGGAATGTTTTTTGTGCTGCTCAGAAAGTCTGTTTCCATTTTAGAGGCCGGGGTGACTGTCTGGTGCCAGGGATGGTGCCACCCCAATGTATGTGGAGACAGGGAAKTGCCCGCAGGTGAGGCAGCCCTGGTAGGGATGGGTGATCAATAAGGGGAGAAGGGAGCAAGGTGAGCCACCAGCTGTGAGACTGCACTGAGCATCAGCTACAGAACAAGGCACAAAACATATTGACCCAGACCTCTGAAAAACAGTCCAAGAATGATATAAGAGCCTTAATGAACACTTTTGCCTGCAGAAAAAAAGAGTGAATACATCTTCCCTTTTCATTTGTTTTGGTGGTGGTGGTGGTGGTGGTGGGTGGTTGGGTTGGGTTGGGTTCAGTATACAATCATTTTTGGGCACACTTTTAAAAATTGTTCAGGCACAGTGTGGAAATAAGATGCAAGAGTCTGTTTTGTCTTGAGTGGTGAGCAGAAAAAATGAATCACCGGAAAACAAAACCCAATCTTGCAAGCTAATCTTGTGAGAATTCTATGTCCTAACTTATCAATAAACCTGTATTTTCATGACCACCAACCTGCACTGCAAGTATTGAAACAAAACTAAGTACATATGTTCAGACAATTGCGTTGGGAATGTTTTTCAGCAATAGGAGGTGGTGGATTGGATGGCTAAGAAGATTTTCTGGTCCAGAGGGGCAGTCCAGACAGATACAGAACATGCAGTCCTCTGTCTGCTGAACTGCCAAAATTTCTCTATAAGGAGACAAGTGAATACTAACCACATCTTGTACAGTGCAGGTAGTGAGCTTGGAAAACATTTGCAGAAGTTAAGGGGAAGGAGTATTTTACCGTGGCCACAGATGATGACTGTCACTTTGCCCTCACTGCTGTCACCTCAGATTTCCAGATAGCATGTGGTGCTCCCCAGAAGGAGTGGGCTGCCCACTCCTGGCTATCCTGGGTGGTAGTGGCAAGGAAGTTCAGGTGGAGAACCTCACTGCCTGTCCTAAATATGGACATGAGACCCATTCAGAAGAGGGGCAGCATCGCCCCTCACCAGCTGGCRCTCCAGTAGTGGGCACAGCCTGCTTCCCTGCACCATCTGCCARCTGCTTGCCAGCAATTTGAAGCCACAATTCCTTGTCAAGATCTACATCTGCAACCTCATCTGACTCATGCATGGGAACCAGTTCACCAGCCCCATTTAGCTCCATGTGTCAAYTGTTATCTCATCAAAATAAAGCTGTCATCATGCAAAGCAGCGATGTCCCWGGTACCCCACAAAAAGAATCTCCGCCGCCACCAAAAGTTGCCCTTCCCAAAGGAGCAAGTTCAGAGCTGGGGGCTGTTTAGAGAGAAAATGACTCTGGCTTAGGTGAGAGACCTGAAAAAAAATTTAGGAAAGTTTGGTCAAAAGGAAATCACTCAAATTGGCACTCTATGTTATTGTCTTTTTCACAGCCCTCCTTTTACCTCCAGAAGAAGTTGTTTGTTTCAGTTCTAAAAACACCCATCAGATTACCAACTTTTTAAGGATWTTTTTTTTTTATTTCGTGGTACTTTTCAGAGTGCTGTTATCATCATTCTTTTCTATTTTGTGAGGGCTGTTCCTTTAATTCATCTCATTTATAAAAGTTTAAAATCCCTCTCACTGATAGATGTTGAAAAAAAGAAACAACGACCGAACAGAGAGAGCTGGGGATTTTTGTTCCCCTTTACTTTCTAATAGCCTAGAAGTAAGATTTGTCTTTGCCTGCTTAAATGCAAAATGCCAGCCAAGTGTGTGACTTTCTCTCATTTGTCTAACAGGTAAGCTGCAAAGTGCTGCAATTCTTTCATCAGTACATGCTGGGCTGCAACTACTTCTGGATGCTGTGCGAAGGCATTTATCTTCACACGCTGATCGTGGTGGCGGTGTTTGCTGAAGAGCAGCGCTTGCACTGGTATTACCTCTTGGGCTGGGGTATGTAACTTTTCATTTGTAGCAAGATGGTCAATACTTTCAGATGTTTGAACTCTTCTAGCACTTTTATACCACTTRGAATCTAATTTATATCACTAGATCGTAGCTTAAGACTGATTTCTTGGATCCTAAATTTGAGTGCATTTAATTGGATGTGCTTAGAGACYTTTATTTCCTGCATCTTGGGATTTGCAGAAACGAATGCTTCTGTTCTGTTAAGAAAAGCTATGGGAGAAAATATATTTCTATTCAAGAATATCTCTTATCTGAGAAAAGTTGTCTATTTTTGTCACTTATATGCGAAAACACGAATGTGTGACAGTACCTATAAAGTACAATTTTCCTGAAATGAAGAGGAAAGATTAGAATCTGTGTCTTACAAAGTGAACCAAACACTGCATACAAAAAGAGGAGCCAGAATTTCTCTGGAAGTGAATCCAGTATCAGATATATTTTGACATATGTTGTTTAAAAGAAAAAAAATTATTTTACCTATTGAGAAGATAATGGCTTTGCTGTTGTTTTGTACAACAATGACCTCTAAAGCATTTCAGAGAAACATACAGGCGTCACTAAGCAAATCTCAATGATATTCTGTGAGAGAGGTTACAAATCCCTAGAAAATGGATGCAAACTGTGTGTGGTCACGTGCACATTGCCCAAGGAACCATGTCTAGGGCTGGTTCTTCATCTCCAAATATGCAAATCTCTTCTGTTTTCACTCAGGGACCCCTTTCCTTTTTAATGGCTAACAGCATCAGATACTTTTCCTTTGGACTGTCTGGTTCATTAAAAGGCCATATTAATATAACCAATATATTACAATGAAGTCTCTTTTGCATTTAAATCACTATTGTAAATCCTTTCCACATCAATGTTGACAGAAAATCAATATCAAGGGCTTTTTTCCAGTTTGGCAACCATGACTCTCTGGCCTCATTCCAATTTCTGGTGAGGCAGTTCCCATTTCTTGGAACCACTGGTGCAGTGAAGCAGCAAATGATGGATCTTTATCCATTGTCCCACTGCACTTAGGGATGTTCTTGCAATCCCTGTCTGAAGCAGATACAATTTATTCTATATTTGCCATCCTCTTTGGCAAAGTTGTGTTTTTTTCAAGATTATTTCTTTTACAGCAGGAAAATAGAAAAATAGCCCTATTGCTTAAACCAACAGGACTTAGGATTTTTTGCATTAGATTAATGGATAATTACATGATTAGATAATTAGATCAGAGGAAAATGACCCAGTTCTACATGTTCTGAAGAAATTGAAAGCACTATCTTCAAACACAAATTAGGCATCCAATATTTGATCCTAAGTAGGCAGTAACAACAAAGTTACCCCTATTTGGATTTTCCTTTTAAACTCTGGTAATTTACTTTCTTCTTAAAATACAAGGCTTAGTGCTTTCTGGATTCCTACATTAGATACTAAGAAAATTACTATGATGTTCTAGTTTATGTTGGTTGTAGTGCCAGATAGCAGTCTTCAGGCATGTAAGAATTTGTCTTTGGTATTTTTTGTTTGGTCTTTTGCTTTTTTTAATGAGAACACCAGCATGCATTCTTTTTTCTTACGGGAATGGCACCTTTTCTGAGAAAGAGAGGCACCTGTCATGCTTTTGGAATTAAAAGTATGTGAAGCATCATCAGYTCTTAAATGAAGACAAGCTCCCTGAAGAACCCTAAGTTAAGTTGAAGTTTCTGGACTTTGTCAATCCAAATAGCTGAGTCCTCTTGGAGCAAGCAATTGTGCTATCACAAAAATCTCATAGCTCAGAATATTTGAACATAAAAAGTCTCACAGGGCTCTGAAATGGCAGCCAGATCTGAAGAATCATTTTAAAACATTTGCTTCCCAACAAAGCGTTTTCCATTTTCGTGTCTTGCAGAACAAGGCTTCCCAAAATAGTGTCGCTCCATATCCAATTATGCAAGAGGAATATGGTTGTAGATATATTTTCTTTGTGGTGACATTCAATTTAGGCAGTGCAATTTAATGCAACTGTGACATCCAGCCTGCAATGAAAGCTTATGAGCCAGCTGTAGTAGTGCTGAGAAYGACACCAGCAGCGTGGTGGGTAATTCTGTGAAGTTTCCTGATAAAAAACCGTATCAATGTCTGCAGCACTGCCCAAAAAATAAAGAGGGTAGCGGCTGTGGATGCTGGGGTCTCGAAAAGGATAAAGTTATTAAAAATGAACATAACTCTTGACAATGTCTGCAGCCTTTTTTATGAAACTAGATTAATATTTCCACAAAAAAAAAAAAAAGGTGGTAAACCTTCTAACTAAAGTAGAAATATTATTAATAGCAAAATGGTCTAATTGGGACTATGTGGTGACCCCTTAAATTTGCATGAATCAGTGTAATTCCACTGATTCCAGAAGCAGTAGTAAAATAGTCTAGCTTTCAGCACCCAGCTGTGTCAATCAATGAAGAGAGATACATTTCTCCAAAGGGCAGWACAGAGGAACCACAGCAGGCTGTGCTCTGAATTACAATTCAAGGGATCAAGGCAAATGTACAAGATGAAGTTACTCATTTTTCATTGCTATTGTTAATCCCTATGTGACAARATCTAGTTTATTTAATTTGGAAAAACCACTAATGACATTTGCAAAATAACTTTATAAGGAAAATAAAAATCCAAGCAAATATGAAAACTCTTCAAAAGGTTTGAGGTGATTGAATGGAATACAACATGGGAAGATGGGTTTCAAGGCTGATGCCATCAGTTGACCCCTTCTCTGGGAACTGCTGCTGGGGATGTCATTTCRTATTTGTTATTGTTTCACTGGGTCAGGAAATCACTTTTAGGCAGGACAAGAAAACAGTGGAACAGTACAGTCCACTCTGGCTGCTTCAGGCAATTTCACCCACATAGAAGTGAAAAGGGAATCATATATTTGAGCAGTGCTAAAACTGACTGCCTTCCAAATTGTACTGGGAATACTGACCTAATTGCCARTGCTATAAAGGACCAAAGGGATTATGTCACATCTGTTCCTGGAATGGCTGGGATAACACCTTCTCTGCATTATTTACTGCACCAAGAGTAGRTGGGACTCTGCAGTGACACATCTTACCACAACCCCCCAGTCCCTGATGCTCCACTTCTGAGCTCTTTGGCCCTTCACAAGAGMAAAGCATCATTTAGCCCAAGCAGAGTCCAGGCTGGAAATTTGAGCCATGGAGAGTCATGAGCTTCTGAGCCTGTAACCGGGTAATGAGCGCTTTCCATTGCATTCTTGAGACTTGCTTTGGAGTTTGTTGAGCCAAATATCCTAGGCTAATGCATTTAGCAGAAGAAAAAAGATCTTTTTACATCATGTGGCATCCTCTACTTGCAATACTTCAGACCACAGTTTTCAGCTGAAGAATTTTTGCTGTAACAGAAAGGCCCCTTAAAAAAAGAAATTCAATCTGTCAACAAAACTGGCCCAGACTTGTTCCATTTCCTAATCAAAATTATTTTCTCAAGCTGTCAATCCCACAAGCTCACCCTGAGGTCATAAGCACCTTGCTTTTTGTTCTGAGCTTTTTGTTGTTTTGCTGTGCATCGTCACCCAAAAAAGGCATTCTGCAGCCAGAGGCCAAGTCATCATTTTCTAAAAATATATAAAGGAGAGGGCAATCCAGTTTGTTCTCCCACACCTGCATTGTCCTCATAAGGTAAATTGCAATAAGAGCTTTCTTTTTGGCAGTAGAGTAAGTATCTATTGCTTAAATATACCTGGAGACATAAGAGTGTCCTATTTATGTACTTTTTGGAYCTTATTCTCACTCCCTACTATACGGCCAAGGATCCTCTGTCTCTTCTAGATGTTTTTATGCAAACACTAACATGTGAAAAGAACAGGAGCTATGTTCTTCCCTCTGTGATTAATCATGRTATTGACAGGATGTTTTCACACATTTTCATCTATAATTATAGAATATCCAAAGCTGGGTAGAAATGTCCATGGTTCATAGGAAACAGCAGTAGCACCACAGGTGTACTGCAAACTCTGCACAGGACAGACAAGGCAGTGGATCATGTCCCCACTGGCCAATTGTCTGTGTGTGCAAGGCTATACAAACTGGCTCCCCAGTCCCAGGTTTCTAGCCTGGAAGAGGAGAGGAACACAATATTTAAGCAAGCTGAAGGAAAATGGACAGGAATGGAACAGAYTGTCACTCTCAGTGTCAGGCTGTGAATAAGAACTTGAGCTTACCACTTTGTTAAGCACGGCATGTCACCAAGCCCAGTGCAAATTTGCTCCCATCAGCTCCCTGTCAAAGCCTCCTCTGAGGTGCCACAAATAAGTCAGGATGTGTGGATTTATGGTATTCACAGCTCCTCTCCCTGCTGAGATAAAGCTGCGTGGAGTGGGCTTGGCTGCTCGGGGGCTGGGAAGCTGCAGAAGGTATCACAAATCCCCACCCCCCAAAAAACTCCCATCTCCAAACATTTTCTCGTGCCACTGGCTCCAAATGAGAAACTCTTCACTCTGATTTTTATTGCTCCATAATCTGGCATGCAAGTCAATGTGCGTCTTTCTTGCTCAACAGTTATTTACATGGTTTTAACAAGTGTCCCTGGTTTCCTGAGGGAATTCTCCTCTGAGAACAGAATGATCCTTGCATCCTTCCCACACTGCCTGCTCACACCCTCCCTGCACAAGCCACAGCAGTGCAGGGGAGCCTGGCAGCAGCTTGGAGACACCCCAGGAGAGCATGGTCTGTGGGTTTTGCTTCTTCTTTAAGCCTGCCTTGAATGTTAATCCCTTTTGCATCTCATCATTGGGGAATTGCCAGRGTCTGAGTGTGAGGGAATAAATTCTTTTCTGAAAGCTGTGATTTCACACATGTATGTTTTGTGARCAAGAGATTTATTAGTGTGAGCCATATGAAATCCAAACTAAACAAATACCAATACTGATCTATAACTTTAACCATTTCAGGGTTCCCTTTAGTGCCAGCATCCATTCATGCTGTTGCAAGAGCCAGGTACTTCAATGACAAGTGAGTAGCATGTTTGTTTTTGAATGAACTTAACATTATTTAACTGCAAAGCAAATTTTATTCACATTAATAATAAATGTTAATTTTGTATTTCACCTCCAGCTGCTGGATGAGTGTYGACACACATTTGCTTTACATTGTTCATGGACCTGTAATGGCAGCTTTATTGGTAAGAATATTATTTGCTATCAACWGTTTAATAATTGTGATATAAATGCTGCTAACCTGAATAGAATAGATGCTTCTGTAAGTATTAGAATAGAAAATTCTTTAAGGATTTTGGTCAAAACTCAGAAATAACTAGATATTTTCTCTATTCAGTATTACAAAGGACAGGCTCACAATCCTTCATTGCAGTGGGACTTATTTGTGACAAATACACTGCATTTATGTGACATCAGTCATTTCACTATGCCTTACTGGGCTGAGCTGGTTGCTCAACATGAGTTTTGCTGGTCACCTGGTGTGCTCCAAAGGTAGGGAGCTGAACGAGTCCAAGGAAAGGACTGGACTGAGCTGTCTGAGTAGGAGGACAAGATTCACAGTGCAGTTGGCAATGTGCATACACACAACATCTGGTGTGCCAGAGGAGCAGCCTGRCATGTAACCCTGACCTTCCTGGCAGCTGCAGAAAGAGTTTCCTTAACCCAAGGCCCAAGCTSATCTCAGTGTGTCACCCAAGATGCACTTTCAGCTTTTGATCTGCCTCTTACWTGCAAACACCTGCATGGATGTATCTGCAATTATTGCCTCAGAGATCAAACACCAGGGCAGTGAGTACTGGGAACACCTTTAAATAAACAGCTTTCCATCTAATAGCTGAAAAAACAGAAATCTTTCTACCCTTTCCAGAGAAGCAGTCTTTGACATAAGCTATGTGAAGGAGACCATCCTTCCCTGCCATAGAAGTAGTCTCTTGGTCCCATACAAGTACATTTATTGTGGGTTTATTGGTTCAWTCTTGATTGCATCTGCTCTTGTAATACCAATTACCATCTGAGAGAGGCCATTTAACCTTTATTTTTGTCATTGTGATCCCAGTCTGTATCCTGGCCACAAAGAAAAAGAAATCGACTGTTTTCTATGGAAAAAAAAAGATCAATCTTTAGCTGTTTTCAAAATAAGACATTGTAATTTCTSTATTGTGCTTATGTCATTTCCAGTCTTATTTTTCTTATAAAGATGTCAATGTCTATAGAATGTCCTGCTTGATTTGCTGCAAAAATCCCACAGTGACAGAGTGACTCAGAAGAACTGAAAACTTTTAACTTTGTAAACTCTTTCTTTGACTTTTCACAGTTACTTTCAAAGCATCTAAAAGTGAAGGTTAAGCAGAGTGAGTGAAGTCAGAATAAGATGGAGAATAAGGTTTAGATTTAATGCTAAATGGGACCTCAGAAGTAATTTATTATTCCTCTTTTCCAGTACAGCACAAATGTGAAGCAGTTGAAAGGTCTCCCAGTGTAGTTTAGAAGTGATAAAATGCTTTACCAGAGCTTGCTGATTCATCGTTCTGAAAAARTCAGCTGAGAGTTCTTGTGTATATATGGGATTTGAGCTCCTGAAATACCAGTGGAAGTTAAACAACTTACACATTTATTCATAAATTCCAAAGTATCAGTGCCTGATTTTACTCTAGCAGAGTGGAAAAGAGTGATCTAGATGCCCTGGGGACAGAAAGGGTCTGTGATGCCAGGAATGCCCACGGGTTAATCACAGAGCTCATCATCAGCCTGGGTCTGCCCTCTCTCCTCCTGCAGGCTCTCAGCACATCCCACAAGGATCTCTCTGTGAAGCCAGGCTCAAGGGCAGCTCACTCTATGCTGAGAGCATGGAGGTCACTCTATTTCTGAGATTTTCAGAAATCACKAAGGAGAGGAGATGCTGAACTGCTTGGGCTCATTGACCATGAGGGTCAGGGGCAGAATTTTCTGAACTGTCTGATATTTCTGCCCTGAGACGGTGACTGCTACCTGTTCCCTTTGGGTAGAGCACCACGGGATCCCTCAGCCTGGGGCAGGCAAGGGGTGGCCTGGGTTTTCCTCAGGAGCAGCTTTACAATCCTGCTCACACACAAGCCTAAAGCACTGGTCCACGGGACATATTCCTTAAAGAAATCAAGTGCTCCCATAGGTTCTGCGAGCCCAGGGCCATGCTGGGCTTGGTCTCACCTGACACTGTAGCTTGGTGACTGTCAGACTCTGCAGAGAGACATCTTCATTTCTAGGGGACAATTTGTCCACCCTTTTTTAWCTTCAGACATAAAAATGGTATTAAGTGTTCCCTGGAAATCTTAAATTTCCACATCAGGGTGAAAGCAAGCAGTGCTTCTTAGAACTGACCCCTGCCTGCCTGAAGCATCCATGCAGGGTCCAAAGAACATAGAGCTGCTTAACATCTTTTCTGAAAATATTCATGAAACTTTCCAAGACCTGACTGCCCAGGATCTGCCCATTATGAGATACAATAAAGCTAGAAACYTACACTTTACTGCTATTTATGTGCTCTGTGTTTTTATTTTGAACACCTSTTTAATTTGAATGCTTTCACCTACAATAACTTTGTTTTTTGGCAGGTCAATTTTTTCTTTTTGCTTAACATTGTCCGAGTTTTGGTGACAAAGCTGAGAGACACCCACCGTGCTGAGTCCAACATGTATATGAAAGCTGTCAGAGCCACGTTAATCCTGGTGCCCTTATTAGGAATTCAGTTTGTTATTATTCCCTGGAGACCAGAAAACCGACTTGCTGGAGAAATATATGATTACATCATGCACATATTAATGCATTACCAGGTATGTTAAATGGTAGCAGCTTCAGTGTAGTTGAATTGTTTGATGTTWAGCTAATTTAGTCAAAGATACTGTTGCCAGGGGTTTTGCCCTGAAGCTGAAATTAACTGCATTTTCAGTTCTTTTCTGACAATTTTGCATTATTAGACTATCTGCATTCACACTAGCAGCACCCGAGTGTAAAGAACAGAGACAAGATAGAGGAAATGATTTAATAAGTTGCCAAAATTTCAGTACACGCTATTTCTAAACTATGGAGAGAAAACTGAGTTCACAGAGGGCTTTTATGTTCCAACMCAATTTCTGTTGAAGTGCTCAAATTGACTGAAATTAGTGCTGTGACATTAATATTAAAATTAGCAGTGTATGCAAACTGTTGTACAGAGTTTTGTGTGAGTGCCAACACACAAAAGAAAAAACTAAGACTACTAAGCTTCATTTAGGAGTTAGAATTCCATTACTGGGCAGCTTAAATTACAAGACTGACATTTTGATTTAAAAAATGCTTTGAAAATACAGCATCATTCAGTWAGTCTAGTTTATTTTCTTTTGAAAACAAAACAAAACAAGCCTAAATGACTTTTAATGCTGGGTTACCTGGTTTACTGACTGGAATATATCCAGTCCTATATTGACTAAGAAAGGCAGTTTTTCAATGTATTTGTGRATAGTGGTCAACACAAGTGAAAGTAGTGACCTACTTCTTGCTTCCTTTCACACAGAAGCTAAGTGAAGAAATTATTTTAATGCGGTAATAAGAAAACAATTTTAAAAATCAGTAGTGCTTTTTCCTTAAATGAAATGATAAGGCTACCGGAATTTATTTTATATCCTCCTGATTGTCCTTATCCCTTCAAAACTGTGGGTGTTCCTGCTGCTGCGTGGATGGAATAAATGAAGTTATGGGCCTGCTTTTGAAGTGTATGCCATCTTAAATAACATAAGTGCTGCTTAAAAGGAATGAGAGTCTTGTTTCTTCTGTTGTTGCCTGTATTGTTATTCTTTCATTCACAAGAACTATGAAGGAATATCTCCAAATTCATTTTTTGGTGAAAAGTTACTTGCTTACAGTTTTAGCAAGTTAGGATAAGACAGTGTTACAATAATCATTTTACTCTTAAAATATCTTTTAAATCCTGTGCAGTTGTTAGAGATTTACAAAACCAGTTATAATTGTCTTAATTAGCAATTCTAATAGAAAATCACCAAACTGAGGTTAAAATAGAGGCTGTACTGATGAAGGGAGATGGGTGAGGGAAGGATCCAAGGCAGGAAAGTTTCATCCCTGATGGGTTCCTTCTGCTCTCACAGAAGAGCTCTTGACACCTCTGCRGTATAATCCCAGCATTTCCTGCTAAAATTTGCCCTTTTGGAAGGGCTGAGCAGTTGTCCTGCTGGCTGCAGCCAGCTGCAATCCTCCCTTTCCCACTCAGAGTSGATTTTTAATTGTAACCTAAAACAAACATTCTTAATCCTTTCCCAAACACTTCTTGTATGCATGTTTAAGATCTCCAGCTGTATAATGACTCCTCTGGTGCTCATTTTCTTCCAGGGCTGATTCTGTAATTAACAGATAGTGTACTAGCTTGAATAATGGCTGTGTTTCCCTGCTAGCTGTTGCACTCCCATGACCCACAGCACAGCCAGCCTGTGCAGACACCAGCCAGARTCTGATGGGTTTTGCAGCTCATGGCATGTCAGTCATGTAGAAGCAGGCATCATGGGAAAAATTACATTAATTTTTTTGGTGGAAAATGTAATATATTCTTCATTTCTGCGCTGGTTAAATGAGTAATTTTTATGCCTTTTCTAGAACAGAGAGGCAGGTTTTCACAGTACATCACTGCTTTAACTGAACATGAAAGATTGATGTGTTAGTTGTATTGCTCGTGTACACAGAAATGGTGCAAACAAGYGCTGCAGTCTATTGTAAACCTCAGAGGATTGAAGAGAAGAAAGAATTCATTCATAAAATAAACCATGTAATGGTATTTCTTTCAGAGAATGGTTTTCCCAGTTGAAAAACAACACACCAGTATTTCATTTTATTTGTCAACAAGGTATGTTTCCTCTGCTGAAGTCGTTTCTGAATAACAGCAGCAGTCTGTTCCACTCTCTTTGTGATGGTGCTCACCATTTTAAGCAGAAGAAGTTTTTCAAAAATGCCTTTATGAACAATTCAAAACATTGTATGTCTACTGAATGTGTCTTTCACACAATAGACCAGATTCTTCTTAACAGATCTGGAGAGCAGATACATAAATGATAAAAAAAATAGAAGGCTGGCTTTTGTGCTGGAAATGGGAATGTATTCACCTTTCCAACTTCCCATCGATCTTCTAGAAATAGGGATTCGTATCTCTTCTCACCATCACTAATATCAGCTCTTTAGTCTTCAGGATGTCGAAACCAGGCAAAATAACGATATTTCAACCCTTATATTGAGGTTTAATCCCAACTGGTGACTCAGCCCCACAGCGCTACTTGCTCACTCCCCGCAGTGGGATGCAGGAGAGAACTGGAAGGGTAAAAGTGGACAAACCCATGGGTAGAGTTCAGACAGTTTAATAGATAAAGTAAAAGCCATGTACACGAGCAAAACAAAACACAGAATTCATTCACAGCTTCTCATGGCCTGGTAGGTGTTCGGCCATCCTTAGGGAAATAGGGCTCCAYCACATGYAACAATTACCTGGGACAGCAAAAGSCATCACTCCAAACACCCCCTTTTTCCTTCTTCTCCCACTTTATGTACTGATCATGATGCCATATGATCTGGGATATCCCTTGGATCAGTTGGGCTCAGTTGTCCTGACTGTGTCCCCTCCCGACTCCTCGTTGTACCCCCAGCCCACTCATGRTGGGGTCAGATGAAAAGCAGCAAAGGCCTTGAATTTTGGATGCCCTGCTCAGCTGTAGCTAAAACATCCCTGCAGTATCAACACTTTTCCCAGCACACACCCAAAGCAGAGCCCCGAACTAGCTACTATAAAGAAAATTWACTCTACCCCACACAAAACTAGCACGCCTGAATTGGAATTACCTGCAGGGACTGGGATGCTGTAGGTCCATTGGTGAATGCACAGAGCTATCTTATTTAACAGAGCCCCTAAATTAGGCASAGAAAAGCAAATCTTTGCACTCCAGAAGAGCCAGTGAGTTACAGATCTGAAATGCTGGCCAAACCAGCCCAGGGATTAATGAGCCTCTGCTTTCAAGCCCCCTCGACCAACTGTCCCATCTCACTGAATTCCATGTCCAGCATCTTTAAGCTGCGTTTTTAGAGGCTGTCAGGTTACATTAAATGGCACAGTTCCCATGCCAGAGAAGAGAGAGCCATGGGGATCTGTGAGGGAGAAGGGGAGGAACAGTCCCTGAACCAACAGCAATGCACAAGCAGCTAAAGCTTCTCTTCCCAATACCTTGGTGACTGTGGGGCTAAAGATATAAGTGTACCATTAATGACAAATTAAAATGCTCTTCAACATAAGGGCCTTGGCTTTTTTTGGTAAATGAAAAAGGTTTTTTTTCTGTTGAACAGAGAATAATTTCTCCACAAGTGAGACTCCTTGTGTGCCCCCCAGCAGCTTGGACGCAGCTCAGAGGGGCTTGGTCTGGTACAAGGGTATTTTGAATCTTTTAGGCCTCCATGAGTATCAATRCTGCCTCCAAGTTTTAAATTTATCTTTCTATGCAGCCTTGTACAGAATAAAATTAACCCATTTAGAAGCAGCCTCCTAAAAATAGTGAGATATTTCAATGTATTTTAGAAGGGATTCATTCCATCTGTTTCTCAGTTTAAAAGGAAATAAATATCCTCTGTAATGCCAAACAAGACAGAAATATTTTCTCCTTCTGTTCAAATTTAAGGTTATAGCACTGCTTTTGACAACATAAGTGTTCTCTTTTTATTTTCWGTTCTTTTATTTTCTCTTTGGATAATTAGTAATTTTAAAACTTTTAATATTTTGAGCCAATTAAAGCTAGGGATTTTTTTTTGTAAGCTGAATATAATAAAGCACCCTTTTTGTATGAAAAATTCATGCAAAATAAATGACAGTAACGAAACCTACAGAGAGCAGGAGAAGAAGCAAATAATGAGCTTTGGCTGACAGGGTATCTCCATCATTTTTCAGCAGGTAGGCTGCTCTCTTCAGCCCTCTCATAACAATCTTCCCACCTCAGTGGCAGCAGAAACTGCACAGACAAGTTATTTGCTTTGTTAGTAATTTTCATTTAGCATAAACAAACAATTCCTAACCAGTTTTTACCTCAGAGAGGCTGTATGAATGTTCTGTGGATGGAGGTGGTGAGAAATGCACTGCTGTTTTCCTCAAAGCWTTTTGTCTTTGCCAAAATGAGAGGTGGGAATGGGAGGTGAACAATGAACTATGAACAACCTCAGCCACATTTTTCTTCTTTTTTGCTGTCCATTCAGATCTAGAAATGAGAAGTGAATGGACATGGAACAAAGTCCACATAGAGAGCCAGAAACTGTTTTTTCTATTATKACCATCTGTAAAATTACATACACCATCATCTTCTACCATCAACAATTAATATAATCATCCCACTGAAGTCTAAACAGCAACACAGTGTGTAGTTGGTTAGGGTAAAAACTAAAGCCATGGACATGGTCAGGAATAGCAGAAATAAGTATATCTATATATGWTTTCTTGGTTTAATGGAGACATAAACCCGAATTAAAAAATAAAAAGAGGTGAGAGAAACCTATCTAAATTTACAGTATCTGTATAGGTATTTTTAATATGTTTCTTTTTAACCTGAGCAAATAATCGAGCTTCTCTTCAAGACACTCTTGTCTTCTAGGAGAGTGAGATACAAATTAAATACCTGTCAAGCAAAGAATGTACTTAGACCAGTACATAAACACAGGAAAAAACTCACTACAGTGTTAATAAGGTACATGAGGGTCTGAGAACTGCTGGCTCTGGACGATCCCTAGGGCACAATTCAACCAAAAGCCACATTCATTTGTTCTTCACATAGTTTCAAAAATAAAGAATTTTAGAAGAAGTCATTCAAGGCCCTAATCTCAAAATAAATATATTCCTCATTTCTGCTTTCRATGCCACAGCCAACATTACCTTGCTGAGAGCAGACAGTATATCACAGGTYAGTTTAACAACTCCACACAGTGGCAGAGAGGTATAATTGACCTAGAGATCTCATTCTCAGCAAGAATTTTATCCTGAGCAAAACMAGCAGCAGTGAGAGTCTGGAAGATATATGTCAAAAAGATACGAGAAATCACTCATGGGCCCTAAATGAAATAATTAATCTCCATGTAGTCTGTCACATGTTTTAATAGATTCATGGTAGAATTATGGCCATGCCAAGCCCTCCTGGATCCAAGCCAACAAAGCTGGTGTCTGTTACTGATATCTCTGCAGCTTTACTGMTGAAGAGAACAAAAGCCTTCTGAAAAATGGGCAAAACTTTCTGCATGAAATGGAAGAAAGAGAAAAAAAGAAATAKWAATAGAAATAYAGATGGYAGTGCCCAGAGGGCCACAGCAGGTGCAAGAAGAGTGATGAGATCTGTGTGGAATGGACTAGAGAAAATAATCTCTTCAGCCAGAACATGTTCAACATGTGTGGTCTCAAAATAAGAAGTCAGAGGTGCTTTCAGCTCACTCCAAACTAGAAAAGCAACTGAAAAGGATGTGAGGCATCATCACACCTTTTTTAGCTTTTCTGTCAGAATTGTCTGGAGAAAGTGTTAGTAAGGGAACTACACTCTTGAATAGCAGAAAAGTGGAGTGATTGCAGGATGTAACAGAGGAATCCCAACACCATACAGGAACCGAAATGGAAAATGGCTTCATTTCAATWGTTCTGCTCAGTTTCTGTCTTTAGGTGAACTGAGGTTCCCAAATTCCCCCTGAACGCTCTCACTGAAGCGCAGACTTGGAAATTATTTCTCTTCTTCTTTCTCTCCCCCTTCTGTCTTCTGATTTGCCATGCCTCATGTAGAGTGTCCATTGAACATCCCTGCTTCCAGGGAAGAACAAGATCCATCTCATCTGCCATTATGACTGACTGCTGTTAGCAAAACCACATCTAGCAAAATAGTGGGAGCCATGCTGCAAGTGCACAGTGCAGCTCAAGAGCAGAGGTTTTGCCAGACTGTTCACATTTCACAGGCTTTATTTCCTATCCTTGCAAAAATTTTGATTTGGTGTTATCTGGTCTGACAAAGTTATACTGTAGAGTTGTAGGGTTTTGTTTGACTTTTTGGTGCTTCTCAGCCTAAAACTTATGAACAAGCTATTGTGCATTTTTTACTGTATGCTGAGATTTGAGTTTTTTTGAGAATACTCATTGCTTTGTCAAAATGTGAAAAGAATCTTCTTTTTCTCACTATGTCTACCCTTCATCCTCCTCCTACATGCTTTTCTGTGTTGATATTTGAAATTATGTCAAATCACAAATTCTGCATCAGAGAAAATCTATTACAGAAAAATAATTGGCAAAACTGAAGTGGTCAGTACTTGGCCTAACCAGCTTGTGTATCTCTATAGAATAATTTTCTTAAAACCTTATTGCTTTACCAGCTGATTGTGGTCCAAAATGTACATCTGAGAATCCAAGACATTTTGCAAAGCATTACCTACAATTCAACTGGCAATCATTTAAATGAAGATTTTATAGAAAATATACAGTTGTAAAGCTCTTCAAAGCAGCCCTTGGGAACATAAGCTGCAGTTTTCCTCTCAATTTCACAAACTGCCATACATTTAGTTTATAATAACTGCTCTAMGTAATTTAAAATGAAGGCATTTGGCTCCCAGTGATGCTATGTAATCTATTTTAATAAAAGCGAATGCAGTTAGGACATGAACCAGTGTAACTACATAATCCTGAATGGCAGGCTCTCTGTATAAGAGTTTCTGTCTTAATTTCACTCTTTCTCATCTCATATTTCTGCCTTGGCCCTGTTTAATCTTATAGMAGTAGTGAATTATTATCTGAGCAACTTGGTGATGATTAAATTAATTTAAAGCCACTCAGGATCAAGCTATGATCTGCAGTGTCTCTTTTTTTCTGCCTCCCTATCTTCTAGTTCATCTATTGTGGTGTGGTTTTCTGTTTTCCTGACCACTTACACCTCTTTTCACATCCCCTCCATCCACTGTGATGGCCCAACATACAAGTTCATTAATCCTGACCTACAGTTCAATTTAAAGCCTTCCTGGGGCAGGAGGATTCTCTGTGGCTGACACTTTTGACCAGATAGCTGCACTCTGACAAATGAGTGGCAATATATAGGACACRATTCCTCTGCCACCTCTTCAGAAAATCAGTGGCAGTGTGGTTCTCTTCTGTGAGCAAAATACATATCTATCTTTCGTTTTCCTTTTCTACATCTCTAACATAGAGATAACTTCATAGCCATAACAAATAATCTCTAAAAACTAGTAATATAGGGAAGAAATTGTAAAACATTTTGAAAACACAAAAATTTTTTTTTGTAATAACACACCTGTGAAAGATGGGGAGTGTCTGTGGTGCAGAGGAAGTGGAGTAAAGTTTTTATCTTGTATCCATCAATTTCCAAAATATGATGAAGAAGTCTGTATATTCTGATCCCTAAACTCTTTTTCTTTCTCTTAGGGCTTACTCGTGGCTACTATATTCTGCTTCTTCAATGGTGAGGTAAGCATATGAAATGCATAAGAAATAATAAGACAAAAAAAATAATAAGAAAACCAACAGAAYTTGAAAAATAGTCACTCTGCTGTTCATTAATGCAGATGTGAAGCCTGTCTCGCTACAAACTCTGAGTCATTTTTACTCCCCACACACAAGCAGTGCTGTGCATTTCTGGCAGCTCTGTGCAGTGTRACTGGAATCTCTCTGAGCAGACAAATCAGGGGTGTCACCACTACAAAGGAGAAGGTACCTAATGAGATACAGGCATGACACAGATCTCTCACTATCTGCAAGTTTGAGATGGAGGTCTAACTAAAGGAGAAAAAATGCTTTACTTCCCTTCCTGCCCTAGAACAGCAGGAAGGACCATAATACTCTATAAGAAGCAGAGGGGATATTCAGGGATCTGTTTAGAGAATGCAGTGCTGTGTTCAAGCCCAGAGCCATGTCAAATCCATCCCTGGAAGCACTGTCAGAGGTGGAAGAGTGCAATTACTTGTGCTCCTTTGAGGATTAGCACTGGGCTTTTCACAGTCAATGTTTCTTGTGTAGTAATGAGAAATAAAAACCCTGTTGGCAAAGATCTCTCCTGTTCTCTTACAGCTAGATCATATATATATATATATATATATATATATACAAATACAGTGGGATTTAGGTACACATTACTTTTTTTTTCTGACAAAAAATAGCAGGTTGAAATATGTCAAGAACCATTTAAATTCCTACAGCAAGCCGTTTTTCAAAGATGGTTGACAGAAAAAGGCTTTTTCAATACATCAAAAGCATTCAACTGGAATGAAATAAAATACCATCTATTTATGAAGTCCATTTAAAAGTTCATTCTCARTCCAGARCAGATGAGTTACRTACAGAACAAATTTTGTRWTGCTAACACTCAGTATGTCAACCTAGAGAGATATTTGTKCTCCTGTTTATCCCTGGATATTATTAGAAACCAGCAAATTCCATGTAATGATGTGATCACACTGATGTTTTGATAGAGACTGGAAGCAAGTTTTGTTATTGATAAGGTRCTACTGGCTGATTTGATAACATTCAGGACAGCAGGGAGTATTAAATTCTGCCACCACTTGTCGACATCTCTGTGCATTTGCCTCTGGCTGCCTCCCTTGTAAATGTACAGGGAAACTCAAGGATAGAAAGATGAGAGGCCTCCCACTGCAGTTCTGTAGCATGGCTTCTCAGGAGACATGAAAGAGAATGACAAAATGTGAGCAGCTAAGAYATCAGAGCCTAACATGAAATAAAAGCTGTAAAAATCACGCTGCAGAAGTTCACGGTTTCATGAGTCCAACTAAAAAAAGCTGAAGACATGTACAGCCCTTCTCCTAACACATTTCTGTCCCTGGTATCTGCAGGCTATTATCACCTTTCTCCTTCTGCCCCACTGTCATCACTCTGACACAGCAAATATCCATGCCCTGGAAACAAAGAAAACTTCTGGTACTCCCTAGTATTGAGGACCTGCTGTGAAGAAAGTAGGCACCAGTCAGGCAGTTTTTGAAGCATCCTCTCTCCATAAGAATGACTGCATAGCTGTGTACAAGCAGTGCTCCAATATCCCCTCAGTGGCCTTCAAACGATGTGTAACCCCAAAATCTTGATCGTTGCCTTCTTCATTCTCCCCAGTGTAATCTTTCATTTTTTTTTCAGATCAGATTTTGAAAAACAAATTCTCTTAATGTTTCACAGCTCTAGTGTCAAAAGGTTGATTCAGCATCTCTAATGAGAACACATGGACTTGTGTCTAGATTAAAGGTTGTAGCAATGTTAAAAATGAGGAAAGGCCACAATTAAATGCACTGAAAATRCAAAATCTCTTAAAGGCTATTAGTTTCTTTGCTTCATCAACCAGCTCTAAGTACTTCAAGTACTTTTGGCAATGCTACAGTATCAGAAGAGCATATTGACCTTTACAAATCCAGAATACAATTCTCAAATTAGGCACTAATTGATATATCTGAAGCATCTGCTTGCCAATCTGCATGTTTGATGACTTCTTGGTGGAGCAGCTGATCAGAAGTAYGGATCAATGTCAGGCAGTAAGAACAAGTGACTGTGAGCATGCAGGATTCTCAGATGTGTTGAGAGTGATTTTATTGGTGGTTGGGTACTTTTCACCTTTAGGCGCATTTTCAAAATTATTCCATCTACCTCAGATTTGCAGACTGTCAGTGGCAGGAGTGCTGAAAAACCCTCTCATTATTTTCTTCTAGGAAATTTTATTTGCTAGACTAGTAGGGAAGCTCTTTTTTGAATTTCCCATTAAGGTGAACAGTGTCAATGGTGAAAYCTCTCTAATACAGACTCAGGTCTTGGGTCATGACATAAGATTTTTTCCAAGCTGGTGCATGCATCTGCTGCCATAGAGGCTAAAATTAGCCCTCATGAGAAAATTCAGTGTGCGGCAAGGAGGTTGATTTTAGTACTGCAGAAGCCTGGCTAATCTGAATTTACTTTTTCTTGCTGGAATATTTAACTTCAAGACTGAAATACATGAAGTTTAGCCAGGACAAACAATGCTAAACTCAGAACCACTTGACCGTGCTTTACAATGCATTCATCACTACTGCCTCACTAACCTCACTTTAGTACTATGAATCCATCTGTTGTAAGAAATGTAAAAAAAATAAGAAGCTGTATCAATGTCTGCAGTCATGTGGAACACATAAACAATTTTTTTTGTTACTTCTAAAATGACAAAACTTCTTGCACATTTTCACAGAAAATCCTGCTGTCCGCCGTCTCTGTCCAAGAGCAACAGTGTTGTGCAGATGATACAAGGTCTCTGCAACAGTCTGCTCACCAAAACACATTTTCAMGCCTGGGATTGCTTCTAGGCTGAAAAGCTGGACAGCAGAATGGAAAATCTCTTTGGGACAAAAACATCCACGTATCTTATGTGCCAATGAGGCGAGAATGGCTAATACAAAACACAAAAATCCTTAAAGTCTTGAAGAGCAGAGTAAATAAACTTGGGCTCTCCRTTGCTTCAGCCTTTGCTTTCTTTTACCTGCCATCACAGTGGGAAGCATGGCTGGCATCACCCTGCGTCTCCTGGTCCTCAGGCACCYCCTCAGTCATTAAAGTGTCGTGGTTGTGCATGTGATTTTCAGTAATGCTGCTCAAATATTTAAAATCCATGCCTGAATGGTTTTGGTTGGCACTGCGTTATGGTCATTTGAGATTCTTGGAATCATGGCAGAAAACTAGATTAGCAAGTTTTACTCAAATGCAGCAACTTGTACAGTCCATGATCCATTTGTGGCCAGATCCTTGGACAGACAAGCAGCTCAGCAGAGAACAAAAACAAAAGTGTTTTGCCCTGGTGATCTCACTGCCCTAATGCTTCTGAAGAATTCTTCCAGTCACTCCCCAAAGCTTCTGGTGTGTCTAAGCTACAATATTCATACTGTAACATCAAAAGGTAATTTTAAAGTGACTGAAATCTTTACAAAGTATAACTCGTGTAATATTTCTGTATCAAGTGCTGCCACAGCACTACACTTAACCCAGTAACCTTCACTAATAAACTTGGGTGATAGTGTGATAAAACATTCCTGTATTTAGCTATTTCACTTTAATGCTCAATATTGGCATAGTAAACTTTGCTCACAGCCCAAGTAATTAAAGTTGCATTGTGAGCATATGCCTTTGCTGCGCTCGATATCTAATTAACCTGCAGAGCCATTTGTTTTCTTTTCTTTATGTGTTAGGAGAAGGTGAATAGCAATRAATTCTCCAAATAACAAACAGTGTCCACTTCAGCAGGAGCACAGAAACTTGTGGACTCCTGTCATTACAGTGCCTTTCCTGCACCTGCCTTCCTCTGGAGGAGGGGTTCATTTACAYAAGATTATTGTGCCAAACTGCTCTTATTCTCACTTTGGAATCACTGATTTAAACAAAAAGAGGCAAGACTTGCCCACTTTCTACTCATGTAGMAGCATTATCAAGAGCCCCCACACCTGGACATGCAGCTGGAGAAGGACTTCTTATTCCCTGGMAGGATTCAATAGTTTAAATAATTTCCTAGCACCATGTATAACATCACCCTAAATGTCAATGTCGAATAAAATATCTTATTCCTAGCAGATGAATGTTCTAAGTTTGAAATCCTCTGACTATGACCAACACTATAAATTGCAAGCATAGAACCTGCCCCTAAATTACTGGAACAAAATCCCTGTTTAACTGTCCTAATCCTCTAACTCTGTTTACAAAACTAGTCCTGGCAAGCTCTTGAAGTGTACTTACACTTTTCCATTCATGGCAAACACTCATTACTCAAGGCTGAGCTTCTTCAGGCATCAAAATGCAWTAGGCATTTCAGGGGCAAGAATCCAGCTGTGGCATCAAGTGGGTTTTAGTCCCCATTCCCCCATCCTCTTCCCTCTTCTACCTTAGCAYTGTACTGTGTTCCTGTGCAGCAATCTCTTCCACATTTACAGGATGAGTTAACCTACATGTGACTGCAGAATTTTATTCTTATTGCTAACACAGGGTAAACAGGGAGGGGGTTAAGACTGAGAGCTGAAAAACTGCTTCAGGAACACACAGAGGGAGAGAGGAACCTGATGGAATTAGACCTGGAACTTCTCCTTTCCTTTCCTTTCCAGGGGTTTTTATCATGCCTCACCGTGTCTGTGTGTTTCTCTAACAGGTGCAGGGAGCTTTGAAGAGGCAGTGGACGCAGTACAAAACCCAGTGGGGCCAAAGGCGCCGTGAGCACTGCTCCACACGATCTACCTCCTACACGGCCACRTCCATCACAGAGGTCCCCGTTTACCTGTACCATCACGATGCCAACAATGAACAGTTAAATGGAAGATACCTGGAGGACTCTGAACTCGTTGCATTAAAGTCTGGAGAGACATCTGCCTAGCTCAGCACCMGCCATTACAAACACATCGTTTCATGTTCTGCTTGTGAAAAGATTGGGGAGGAGGGTGGGAGTGTGGGAATGCAAGATGTGGTGTCAGAGTGCAGGCCCAGGTGGGAGGACACGTCCTGCTCAAACCACATCAGCCTCTGACAGCAGTGACGTGTGATGCAGACCTGGAATAGCATTTCTTYCTGGGCACTGCAGCAGGGAAGGAACATGGACCTGCCCACCAGGCTGTATAATCTCCACATCTCTGATACCAGCTGTGTGAAGCGACCATCTGACATTTGGAACAACCCCAGGGAACTGATAGCAAATAGGAAAGAAAGAACCAGTACGTGGCAATCGGAAACTTGCGGCGCTTTTTGCTTTGGTACTTTCCCTTAACACCAGATTTTAAACTGCCAGCTTTCACAAAATGTAACTGACTTGGTGTCCTTTATTTTTTTCCTTTTAACAAACACAATGACCACTTAAAAGATTTTGCACATTGCAAGACAAATCAAACATACGAACAGCAGAAAGTCATTCCAAAGTATTGAAATCTTGATGCTTTCCAAAGAGTGCCCCTAAACGTTACCATTCCCAAAGGATATCCCAAAATATTATCATCCCATTAGCAGGTGCATAAAACAAATTAAGGTGAAATAGTCATTTCATATCAAGATCTCAAACACCCTCAGAGAAACAGATCAGTCCTTCAGGCTTAATGACACAAGTCCTGAAGACATCTCAAAATAGACTTCATTTAACAATACTGGTAGGTAAAGAATATTTATTTGTAGGAAAAATTGTCACTCTAACTCTGCCCAGAAGCTCATCATCAAGGCACAATTCTGTCACTCTGAATAAACTGTGAAATTTGTTTGGAAACTATGGTTTTATTTCATAGAAATCGTGAGATAAATGCTAGATGAGTGCTTGTCTCAATTACAAAATTTTGATCATGGCAGTAAATGCTCCTGTGAAAGAAGTGGGAAACTAATGTCTTAGCACAGGAAGCATCTGCTTTTAGAATCTGTCTGCTCTCAAGTCCCTAATCATTAGATAAAATGCCAAAAGTCTTGATAATCTATTTCAGTTTCTACTGAAATTAGCAAACACATCCCTGTCAACGTGGATGAACAATAAACTTTCCTCAGTGTTCAGGAATGACTTATGCAATACAGTTCAGTATAGACTTCAAAAACAGGACTCCATTTCCTCCATAGTGATTTGAAACCATTTTTAAATATTGTGTCTAACCAGGTTGATTTTCCTTTCCTGACACAAGTAGACCCTAAGCTTTACCCTCAATTGGTAGATTTTAAATGGAGAGACAGTGTACATGTCTACCTACTCGAGTCATCAGCTCATAGGAAAGGTCCCTTCTGGGAATGAGTTCACAAGGGATAGCTGTAAACCCAGCCCTATGACAGGGGACCCAATTCCCACTATTCACACGAGGCAATGCCTTGCAGGGAAGGAGGCTGCTCTGTTTTCACCACCAGCACACACATCAGCTGTGCACCATGGACACATTGACCCCAGGGCGAGGAGGGAGCTGCCAGTTCTGCCACCGCAGAGCAAGAGAGGAGCTGGGCAGCAAGAAGGAATTGTCTGCTTGCCGTGGAGACCATCACACAGTCCATCCAGCAGAACACTTACAACAAAATGCCATCATGTGTGTTTGTCCAAGCCACATACCTATTTTTGAGACTTCAAGGAATACAGTTATTTTTTCAAAGAACAGTATTTCTCATRTTGCTATTTCTACTTTCACCAGTGAACAACAAGAAGTGGAGGAGTCAGTTGTTAAAGACAATAAAGTGGCTCTGCTATGAATCTGTATTTCTGAATAGCTTTGGGGCACACTGCACTTCCCAGGAGTGCTGAAGAAGGCATTCCTTGTTTTTAAAGACACAAACAAGCTGATTGTAAAAGAAGTGTGCATAAAATAGAGAGTTTAATGGTGAATATATTGTTTTAAATAATGTACATGTTTACAACATGCAAGTGCAAGTTGTTTCACAGTCAGTTATGTTCATGTGGATGTACAAAATGGAAATGCTTTGCTTTGATTGTTTTCTTTCTTCACTGATGATATTTTTTTGCTCTGTTTAATAGAGTGCTCTGGAAAGTCAAATTTAGGATCTGACATTTAGGATCTGCACTGCAGCTTCAGTGTTCTTGTGTCAGTCCTTGTGGAAGCTTTGGTTTCAGTCAAGGGATGATGATTTTCAGCCACAAAAAAATTTGTCTAATATACACACTGAGTGTAGGGCTGTCATCACTCTGGGGCTTTGTTGAAAAGGTTGAGTTTTAAAGGAACTTCCTGTGTAATTGCTAATCAAAATAATTTTCCAATGGGAAACAATATTTTTCTTCATCTCTAAATGGTTTGAAATGTCATCATTGCACACATAAGGCACATTTCATTCTCTGCTTTATAAATAGCACCAYACACTAGTGATAGGAATTATGGGACTGCTGATACAACCTCAATAATTCCAATTATGACAGGAAGGTGGTTTGACTCTAAGAAGAGAAGRAACACATAATTAATGTAGCAGTGTATCAAAACGTAGGGAAGGAGCTGACTCTTGAATCATGGACTCAAGGTGTATTTTAAGGGGAAATCATCCTTACATTGATCACATCTGCAGTATCTGCTTCCTCTCAAACACCACACCCAACACATGAAAACTCAGTCTAGTGAGCATTTCCTCTGGCAGAAGGTTTTGTGTGGTTGCTCTGAGCAACCAAATCTATCAGGAAGATAGATTTAGATAGRTGCTGATTGTTATTCTTTGCGAGGTACAGAAACACAGCACAAATTAAAAGATTTGTTGTGGCATGGGATGTTGAAAGTAAGACTTTATTTCTATTTTATTTACTTAATAAATATATTTTATCTGAAATAAAACAGCAACAAAGGTAGAACAGACAATTTTCTCTGTATTAAARTTCTTAACAATAATGCTACCTTAATTAAAACACTACAGAGTGCTCATGCAGCAAAAGAACTTTGCTTTGGGATAAAAACACCCCGCAAATGCAGGTAATTTCTGTTCTTCTCTCCCATTTTTTGCCAGCCTCAATAAACAAAATACATGAACGCTTTTCCAAATATGTAAATCTGAAACACTAAAAATATGAAGGTACCTACATTTCTGCTGCTCAGAATTTTAATAGTYTGGCGTGTCCTTGTGAAGCTAAATGCTGCTCAAATATATGAGGATTTGTTACCTAAAAGTGATTTGCATTGAAACTGTAGTTGATCCCATGCCAATGAGACTCTGCAGTTTGAACACACCCTCTCTGCCCTCTACAGAACTTTTCATGTGCTTCCAGATGGATCCCAAATCTGTGTTTAAGCGCCCCTTTACTGAGCATCCAGAGCATAATTGAGAAAATAGAGTAATTCTCAGCATCACAAATACAGTATGTTGCTCTCATCCTAATAAAGCACAGTTTGACCAGTGAAACCAAGTGCTGAGAAGGCTCCCATTGCTGAGCATGTGGTGCTGCTGCAGGACAAGGAAGCATCGTGGTAAAAATAACTGCCCAGGGTGTGGAATTGTGACTCTCAGGGAACACAAATCAGCACAGACAGAGCTGGTAAAGATTTATGCTCACCTGCCTTGGCTTTGGGACTGTTTAGATGACCTGCTGAACTCCTGTCAAAACTTATTTTCTGTGAWTTCATAGCAGCAAAGATGGGCACCAAGCTCTTCTGGGGCAGGAAGGTACTTCACTCTCACTACATGCCATTTTTGATTTTCATAATCAAATTTCAGRGCCCCACAAGCCTATCTTTAAAAGAAACAATTATCTTCAGCCAATTTTTAAAGGGCTTCAGCACTGATTTGAAGAATCTTTTCCCTTTCCACTGCAAGCAAATGCAGCTTTGAGAGGTAACCCCACTACAGGAGGTTGCTTTGTGTAATGTGCAATGTGTGCTGATGTGTGACCACATGCAACCCCCCATTCCCAAGTGCTGCTGATGTTGGTTTGTACAATATGGTCAAATAGATACAGCTCCTGTATCCCTCACATKCTTTGCATTTCTCACCCTCCCCCCATCTTCCACCATTATCACCACCATAAGAAGTGTTTATTTCCCAATCTCTGCCTTCTACACATTTTCTGGAGAAATATTTTTCCTTTACGGTTTGCAACTTCTGTTGACTTGCTCTTGGTCCCAGATGCACTCACAAAATCAGACTGGAAAATGTGCATTTTGATCCAAACAAGATTATAGAATTCAGGTGCTTGGCCTGCACTCTTTCTTAAAAGCTACCCACTGGAATTGCAGAATGGTAGGTGCAGATTTAAAGCTAAGCTAAGGATAAAAGTGTGAGTGCACAAACCAAGTATCT